TCTTGAATAATATACCTCTACCTGGACGTCTCTTCAAGTATGATAATATCCTTTCAACTGCAAGGAGGTGAGTAGTTCTAGGAGAGTGCATATATTGATTAACAACGCTAACTGCATAACCAATGTCCAGTCATGTGAGACAAAGATAGAGGAGTTTTCCAGCCAACCGTTGGAACATAGCTTTGTCTTCAAGTGGCTCTCCACCCTCTGCACTGATCTTGTGATTCTGTTCAATAGGTGTATCTGCAGGCTTAACACCCAACTTTTCAGTTTCTTCCAATAGATCTAGAACATACTTCATTTGAGAAATAAAAATCCCATGTTTAGATCTAGCAACCTCAATACCCAAGAAGTATCGTAACTCTCCGAGATCTTTCACCTCAAACTCTTGATGAAGGAGTTGTTTAAGAGACTCAATCTCACTATTATCATTCTCTGTCACTACAATATCATCCACATATACAACAAGCAAAGTCAAAGAAGAGTCCACTCTTTTAATGAACAATGTATGGTCTGACTGGGCCTGTACATAGCCGAATTTTTCAAGGGCTTGTCTGAATCTATCAAACCAAGCTCTGGGGGACTGCTTTAGTCCATACAAGACTTTATTCAACTGGCAAACCTTCTTTCCTGTCTCTGCATCATAAAATCTAGGAGGTAACTGCATGTAGACTTCTTCCTGTAAGTCTCCATTGAGGAAAGCATTTTTAACATCCATCTGGAACAAGGGCCAAGAGTAACTGGCTGCAAGGGATAGCAAAACTCTAAAAGTTGACATCTTTGCTACTGAAGCAAAAGTCTCCAAGTAATATATACCATAAGTCTGAGTAAATCCCTTTGCAACTAACCAGGCCTTATACCTTTCAATGGAACTATCAGCATTATGTTTCATAGTAAATACCCATCTACATCCAACCGGTTTCTTTCCTTTAGGCTGGTCAACTAGCTCCCGAGTATTATTCCTCAGAAGGGCATCCATTTCAACTTTCATTGCATCTTTCCACTCAAGAACTGATAAGGCTTCCTGCACTATTCTAGGAATAGGATTATCACCAATGGATGTGAGAAAGGACCTGTAAGAGGGGGAAAGGCGATCATAGGACAGGAACTAGGAAATGCAGTGAGCTGTGGATGTGGTGCAACGCCGTTTGCCTTTACGAACTGCAATGGGGAGGTCAAGGTCATCCAAAGGAGGTAAAGTAGCAACAGTGGAAGGTATCTCAGTGGGACCTGGATCTGATAAAGAGACTGTGGTACCTGGATCTAGATCCATAGAAGGAATTGGGGGCCTGGACTGCTGATGACCGAAATCAACTTGCCTCCACCGCCTGTGATAGACTCTCAAATCCTGACACCTCTGACAACCCTCCCCATTACATCTCTCATCACTCAAAGAAACAAGTAAAGAAACTTTTGATGAGTTAACCCCACTCTCACTACTCTCCCCCTGAGGAGAAACCCTAGGGTAATAGGGTACCTCCTCAAAGAAAGTAACATCCATCGAGACAAATCTCCTCCTAGAAGTAGGTTCATAGCAGCAATAACCCTTTTGAGTTTGTGCATAACCGAGAAAAATACATTTAGAGGCCTTATGATCAAATTTGGAACGATGAGGTCCAATAATCTGAACAAAGCAAGTGCAACCAAAGGTTTCGAGGGGAACAGTAAACAACTCTTTATCGGGGTATAGAAGGGTAAATGGAGACTTCATGTCAAGAACCCGTAAAGGAACTCGATTAATGAGATACACTACTATAAAAATAGCATCTCCCCATAAATGAATAGGCACATTGGAGTTAAACATAATGCTTCTAGCCACCTCCAATATGTGTCTATTCTTCCTCTCAGCAACCCCATTCTGCTATGGTGTACAAGGACAAGTACTCTGGTGAATAATCCCATAATCAAGCATAAGAGGATAATGGGTTGGTAAAGTATTTTTTCGCATTATCGGATCTGAAGATTTTGATTTTGACCCCCAAACTGGGTTAAAATCATCTGATGAAAGATTTCGGTCAAGAAATCTATATCCCCCCATAGAAGGGATGTGATACGGGTATAGTCATTAACAAACAGGTATAGTCATTAACAAACAACAAGAAATATCTATATCCCCCCATAGAAGGGATGTGATACAGGTCCCAAACATCAGTGTGCACAATATCAAAAGAATTACTATTTCTTTTATTACTCAAGGAATAAGATGTTCTACAATGCTTTGCAAGCTCACAAATCTCACATCTTAAATTTGACATCTGAACAAACTCAAACAATTTTGGAAACAAACTTTTCAAAGACCGAAAGGATAAATGACCCAACCAATTATGTCAAAGCATAACCTAATTAATAGACTGAGAAACAAAAGACTTCTTATCTTCACGATCTCCCCAATGAGAACTCTCTCCAAGCAGATAGATCACATTCGTCTCACGGCCAATCCCAATCACCTTCCTTGTTTCCAAGTTCTAAAAAACACATCGGTTAGGAAAAAAAGTTACTGAACAATTCTGATGTTTTGTAATACTAATAACTTAAAGCAAATTAGTATCAAGCTTAGAAATATGCAGAACTGAAGATAAGAAAATGGTATTAAACAACTTGATGTCTCCCTTGCCAGAAATGGGAATAAGAAAACCATAAGCAATTGACGCTTTATCTCTACCAGAAGATAAGTGATAGGTGGTGAACAGTGATGGCAAGCTAGTCATATAGTCAGATGCACCTGAGTCTATTACCCAACAATGTTCAGTGTTACTTGGAGCTGAAGCATGGTAAGCTGAGGCCCGAGTACCTGAATGAGCAAAGGTTGATATGGGAGGAGCTGATGGTGGCTGAGATGACTGAGCTGAATTCCCAACTTCCTTTTCCAACTGAGTTAGGGTAGCCCGGACAGTAGCTAGGGTGTCTAGAGGTGTGTCTTTTGTGCCCGATGAGGATGCAGAATCGGTATTAATAGCCATATGAGCATTACCCCTTTTATTCCTCAGTTTTGCTGGAACTAGATGAGGGTGCAGCTTCCAACATGTGTCTTTAGTATGCTTAGGTTTCTTGCAATGTTCACACACTAGATCCCGCTTATCTTCCTTCTTTATATCCCTCTCCGTATCACCCCCAGACTTAGGTTTAACTACTGCCAAGGCTGATGGGAAGGGTTGATGCTGCATCATAACCTTTCTCCAAGTCTCTTCACTATGCACCAAAAAGTAGGCTTAAGATAAGGTCACACTGTCCCTTGTTAGTATTTGTTGTCTCACAATATCATAGTCAGGATTCAGACCAGCTAGGAATTCAAAAACCCTATTAGTTTTTCAATTTGCTTTCTATGAGTCTGTGCATCCTTCTGACTTTCCCACTCAAGTGTTTCTAGGTGGTCAATTTCATGCCACAAAAATTTCAAAGTAGAAAAGTAAACCGAGACCGGTTTCTCTCCTTACTTAAGTTTGTTAACCTCACACTTCAATTCATACCCCCGGGCAACATTAAGGGGTTGGGCGTAAGTCTCTTTCATGACATCCCAGATTTCCTTGGCTGTTTTTGCCCACAAATAGTTCTTGCTAATATGTGGCTGCATAGAGTTGCACAACCATGTCATAACCAAATAGTTCTCCTGAACCCATTTGGTATAAGTTTGGTCCTCCTTAATTGGTTCTTTCACATCTCCCAACAAGTAGCTGAGTTTTCCTCTACCCCCAATAGCCATCATGGCCAATTGAGCTCATTCTAAGTAGTTTGATCCATAAAACTTCACAGTTGTAATCTGAAAGGCATTCTCAGACATGTTACCAGAACTGCTAGTTCCAAAAACACCTTCCCCCTGATTCTTAAACTCCATTCTTGGTTAAGAATTAATAATAAAAAACCTTTTAAACTACTGTAATAGAAAACAACACCCAAACAACTGATAACAGCCGGCCTAGGTCTTCCAAAGAACAAAGAAAATAGAATTTTGTATGAAACCAGTTCAAAATCTGATCTAAAACCAACAACAGTTCTGAATTTTAGGGTTTTCTCTCAAAACTCTAAAAGGAAAAAACAGATTTTCCAGCCGCACCTCTCAGAATAGACCAAGATGATTTTTTCCAAGGTTATTCTCAAGAAAAAACTTACTTTATGAAAGAAAAATCTCTGGTCGCCACCTTCTGTCTGATGCAAAACCCTAATCTTGAGGATCCAAAGCCTTTTCTGATTCTTTCTGACTACTGGAACTCTCCTAGCCTTCTACAATCTTCTTAGTAGTAGTCACACACTACCAGTAACCTCCAAGAATCAGTCGATCCTCCTTTGTTGAAAAACTTCTAAACCTAGGAAATTCTCATGTAGTCAATCTAATTAGACTAACATAAGAGCTCCTAGTTCAGCTATGATACCAAGTAGTCGATCAAGACTACAATCAGTCTTGAATTTGAAAGAAAAGAAAAAAGAAATTTCAAAAGAGAAGAAGAAAAGAGGGAGAAAAGAAGAAGCACACAAAGAGATTTTGAAAAGAGAGAGAGGGTTGATCAGTTGATCTGCCGACCCACTCTTAATATTTATATATGTTGACTAATTGTAAAAGGGCTGAATTGCCCTTATTGCTTACATGGCAAATAAACTAATAATAAAGATGAAATAACAAGCTGTAATAATAAACTGAAATAACTACCAACTAACTCTGACATAACTAACAAAAAATATGCTATGCTGCCATACGAACACAGTGTGAACCACAGTAGTGGGGTCCACATCTACAAGTCCCTTGATCTTCATAAGATAATTGCTAATACGTTGCCAATATATCAGGAGTCCTTCAAATTTCATAGATAAATTATACATCTAAGAATTAAAATTTTAGAATATCATTGAAACTTTCTGATATTTTGTTAAAATCATTGAAAATTTTTGAAAACCTTTTCTTGAAAGAAAAATGGGGATTCTGCATTTGGATTGTTGGGACAAGGCTTAGAATACCTACACAAGCTCGTAGATCGACATTCATTTTCTCAGAACAATAGAGGTGCATAAAAACACAAAAAAAAATAGTGGTTGCCATATCAAACCACAGAGCACAAAAAAATTGGAACGGGTCTATTCACTTTAATCCATACAGAACCAAAAAAAAAAAAGAAGTTTGAATTGCAAGAAAATGGAATGGATCTATTCACTTTAATCCATGTCAAACAACAAAAGGTGAAACAAAAAAAAAGAAACCCTAACAAGCCAGATGGTGATGTGAGTTGTACCTACGCAAACCACGAACCGATGGACGACCTTCGCCGTGAGAAAACCAAGTGTTGAAGGATGTATAAGCTCCTGTAAAAAAGTGAGAAAAATCAATGCATGAGGATGTGGTAGAGGCGTCAGTGGAAGAGAGAAGAAGCAGGGAGGTTGTGATAGAGTAAGGAAGTGACGACGACGGAGGAGGAGGAGGAGAATAGGAGAACAAGGAGAAGAGGAACCTGCTGTGGTGCGAAGTGAGAATGGGTGCACCAAACGATGTGCGAACGAATTAGAATCGAGGGTTTTGGGGCAAAATGTTCACTTGGGTGCGCGCGTGGACAATTGCACGTATGACGAAGCCCCGAGAGGGCGTAAAAGCCAGGAAGCTATAAGATCTTCCCGAAATCAGCCCAAGATGGATTTTTCGTGTCTTTTCAAGACGGGCACTAAACGGGCTCTAAATTAATCCATCCTAAGCTCTAATACATTTTAAACAGGAACTCAGTCCCCTATCTCATAACTTTATTGTCTTTGTTTTTATAACCCTTTTTGCAATCCCGTCGGAATCTCAAAGCGGTCCCCAGCAGTCCATCAAATTGGGTGATTTCTCTGATACAAATACTGTTCCCGCCATTCCCTTCCAAATGCAAGCAAGAAGGATTTCAAAGAATCAATGGGAGGACTTTCTTACCCTTTATTTTTCTTCAAATTTTCAAAAAGAACCACTGAAGCAATAATATGTTTTAGTTAAAACCTCATCAATAAACATGTACATATTAAAACCTTCCAAGGGTAAGCATCTGGCTACCTGTACAAAGTCCCTTGCGTGTTGTCCTTAAGGGTTCGAGTTATGTTTTCATGGAGTCCAAGTGTAGACAAGTAAAGAAATGCAGTTCCATTGTTCATTCAAACTAACAGAGTATCTGCATTTTAGTTTTTTTTGCTTTATTCAATACTCTATTTTATTGGTTCATAATTGATGAAGTTCAAATCCTGATCGTTGTTGCCTGTTGATAAATATTTGGATTAATTTCTTGAATTTAGGATAATAAACACTATAAAAATAGAAATTGTAACGGTACCTATTTTACTAAGCAATTAAATACAAAGAACTTTGTTTCATTTTTAGTTTTAATTTTTCTTTCACTCCTTATGATTCTTGCAAATAAAGAAAAGAGAAAAATTAAAACTAGATTCAAGAAACCCTGTAAAAACTGGCGCGCTTAAGATTCAGGATCTTTGCTTGGCCGACATGCAACTATCCTTTCTTCACATGGTAACCAGTAACCACCTTGTTGTCGTTAGATGATTGAGGACAATGAGAACAACAAGCCGGTTGTTCTTCCCATGGTAAAGCCCTTCGAATACCATCTCTTATTCATTTTTCACAGCAAATTCTCATCATTTTATTTACACCTAATTTGTGGAATAATATATGGTAAGCTAGAGTCACAAATACATTCAATAGGCAAAACTGGGTTTTTGAAAGATTTTAACCTCGTTTAATGTCACATTTAAACCAATCTTATTGTTAGGCGAGGTTTTGGTCTGATGACATCATATGAGAAGGGAGGTCTTAGTCCAATTCGAAATAAGAGGGGATGTTTTAGTATTTAGGATAAATTTCTGATACGGGTTCTTAACGGTTATTAAAAATGTCAGGGATAATTTAAATAATATCTTTATGGTAAATTCCATTTGCTTACACCATAAGAATACATGCTGCGTTTGTAAGCGATGTAAATGCCGGACTGGTGTAATATTATACTCCGGTCCAGTTTTACAACTGTTTGGATGGGATGTAAAACACCAATGAAAATGGTGTAAAACGTCATTTGAAAGACTTTTACATAGATAATTGATGTAAAAAATACATTGAAAAAATCGATGTAAAATCTCTTTGTTTTTCCATCGAAGTAAAAATATTCCCGCTTGTAACGTCTCTAGATCTCTTCTCCCTCTTCGTCCTGCTTCGTCTCAATCCCGTGATGGTGTCTCTTCGCCGGTGCCACTGCTTCTCCATCCGGCCATCCGAAACCATATCTATAAGGTGCCAGTCAAACGTAATACTGCTCACATACTAATGGACTCAAGGTTCTACATCAAGGCTTTGGTTTAGGAGGAGATTTGGAGGCTTTTTTATGGGAGGGAACAATGTCGTCTTCAAGGCCTTTTGCGGATTTTGAGTTGAGCGGTATTCCTTAAGCACATAGAGACTATCAGACTATGATTGGGGGTTTCGGTTTTGGGTCTTTTTAGGGAGACCTTATAAACTTTTTTCTCAACTTTGCCATGAGAAAGCAAGCTGACCCAAATACATAGACAATAAAAAAGATAAATGATTAGATATAAAAATCAAAATGTTGTTGAGCAGCGGCACCGGCGAAGGGGGTTGATATTTGTCTTGTGGAGCTAGGTGCTTGCATAGGGCTGATATTTCTCTTGGGCTGAAAAGGATTGATTGTCAAACCATTTCTTCATCATCAGTTAGAAGGGAGATGAGAACCTAGCTTGCATAATTCCCTTCCTTATACCCAAAATGTAGGTACAACACTCCCAACAGAACACGAGCAAATAGTAGTCCCCTTTGCCACACGGGTTGCACAGATGGGGCCTCTAAACCTCATGCCATCTCGCCAACAACCTTCAAGCTTTGTACTGAGTGGTTTGTGAAAAGAGGGATGGAGATTTACATTGATGGGTATTCTCCAAACATGAGCAAAAGGGCAATGTTACTTTTACATTAATTATCCAAACACATATGAGTGTAAATGGGTGTAAAAGCCAGTTTGCTTTTTACACCGGTAGATCTCGCCATTCTTAGACTCCATAGGTGTAGTTTTGTATTTACACCGCAAACAAATGCAGCCTTAAGTATTTAACCCAAAAAAATAATAGGACAAATTTCTTAAACTATCCTTATAGTTTAGCAAATTGACTAACTATACTCCTACTATTTGCACTTTTAACTTTTTTGACAATTGACTAGCTCTATCCTTGTGTTAGCGTCCACTAATGTTATGTCACAATCCGTGCATATGTAACACCAAGTGACGCAAAAAAAAATTGTAAAATCCAATATTACCCATTTGTGGTCAATTTTTTCATCACTTATTCTTCAAATTTTCAAAATGAAACTAAACGTATTTGATAGTTATTGGTTCTCTCGTATGGATCGTATTTCTACCAAATGAAACATACGGACAACTAGAACCTATAGAAGCGAAGCTGTCAAACTAGCACTTAGGCAAGAACCCAGTTATAGATTTCTACAAATCGACACCGACACATTCCCTGCTGCTGGATGTTACCGAAGATAGGCAATGCCGACAGTTGTCGCGAACGCAAAGCAGAACGTCCCCTGTGAGTCCATCGGAACAGTAGTTCTTTGCCATTCCCGAGTCGACTATTCACTTTTGTCTCTCACCCCCCACCCACTCTGCCTCGCCGGCCTCAAATACAAGCTTGATTCCTAGTGGACAAGGCAAGATGAAGAAGTAATAAGTGAGTCTATGCACTTCAGCTAGAATTCTGAACCATACTAGTAGGCAATACAATCATAGCATTTCTACAGTGATCAAAGAAGAAATAGGAGACACAATTTCAATCATAGCTGCCAAGGAGCTTAGACGGAAGGGAGCCACCACCAGTTGGTAGCCCTACAGACAACATAACCTCTCCCCTTTTGACTTCATCTTCCTTATTTTTAAGAGTAGTGTTTCTGTTGCTGCTAGCAACATGGACTAATGAATCAGACAGCGCATTCACCTTCGTTGTCTTTTGAATAAGCTACATGTAAAATTGGCATTTAGTGAAGCCTTTGATCTTGTAGCTGATAAGTGATGACAGTAGAGCTGATCTTATCCAATAGCTTGCCTTTGTTGTAATATTCATAAAGTATACTATCTTTCTGAGTGAGAACTTACCATTAGTTACCCATATTTGCGACAATGAAGCTACTTTGAGTGTATTGATTAGTTTAAATGACAYAAATCATTAGCCATGAAATTTGTCCTTCAGTAGGAGTTTAAAGTCAAATTCCACCCACTATAGTCTATGGGTGAGAAAGCTACCGATGGCCGGGTGAGCCAACACCTCCTCAAGGGCAAACCATCCCACTACCCCCTCTCCCTCGTCCCCTTCCACCAAATCTGTCAGGATCTGACCCTTCCTTTCTTTAATTTCCAACTAACAGGTCTGATTCCAAAACCAATATGATCGAAAATATGCTAAAGAGATTAGGAAGATGCATCTTGCTAGCATTCGTCAATTTAGAAACTAGGGAGAAGTACAAATCAGCCCAGCTCAGAATTTACTAAGCCCAAAGTACAGGGGGAATGCATCATAACCATGAATTGATGCCAAATTCACGGGCAGGATGTGGTTATAGGGGGGACAGGGCTAGTTGTAGAGGGGGGGGGGCTGGAATTCAGAATTCTGAATTGTATGTCTCCGTACTTTTCCCTAGTTGCTGGTGGACAGTGGAATAGAGGAGAGCGGAGGCAGGAGAGAGAGAAAGAGGCAGAAATCTCTTCAATGTTGGCCATGGAAGAGAAGCTCGTTTTTTATTTCCTTCCTCTTATTTCTTCTTCGTCAGCTTTGTCCCTCTTTGTACAGAAAAATTTTATCCTTAGATCTGATCTTATTTGGTGGTTGACATGGGTACGTTTGAATCCACTCGAACTCCTCCTTTTTTAATTAGCCAATTTGAACTCGTCTTATACTTTGAATGGGTTTGTTTTGAAAATCTCTATATTTTTTATTAGATTGGGAAGATATAAAAAATCTTTTATTCAATATTTTATTTTGAAAAATTAAAGAAAATGACGGATAGAATAGTGAGCGAAAACTTAGAGTATTTTAAGTTTCCAAACAGTAGAGGTGAATAACTCAATTTATTAAAACTTAGGGATAGTTTAAAAAATTTGCCCATTAAAGAGAAACCAGATGCCATGCCAATACAATTGGCTGTTACTTCAATTCCTTGAAGCCTACGGCTTTTGTACGTGCCAAAAACTCGTACGAGTGACCAATGAATTGCGTTCAACGCTCTTTGGCTAATATTCAAATTGGGTCTCTCTCTCTCTCTTCTTCCTCGCTCTTCTTGAAGCTCTTCGTATCGGTCAACTGGATCTGCAGATGGCGGACGAGGTAAGATCAAACATAGAATCTTCTCGGCCATCTGTATGTGTGTTTAATCGAGGGAATGAAATCCCATCGGTTGAACCGTTTCTTTTGAAAATTTCACGGGCTTTCTCTCTGGAATGCTTTGCAATCACTTTGTCATGGTTTCGTATTTCAAGACACTATTTATCTGATAAAAATGATAAGTTTAGAGTTTCGTTTTCTAATCAATTCCTTTTATCTCTATTTGTCTGTTTGACTATTTGTGTGTTTGTTTGATTTCTCTTTTCAATAAAAAATTCATTTTTTTTGGTTTTGCAAAACTGATCAGGATGCTTACAATTTTGATGTAAGTTGATGAGAGATCTTCTAATGCGAGATAATATTTTTAGACGTGTGTGTATCTTTTTAGAGTGTTCTATTTTATTGTTTGCATTGAGTGGATCGCATGAAGAAAGTTGAAAAATTTTTTATCGTTGGGAAGTGAGTAGGGTGATAAACTTTTAGCACGGTAGAAATTTCAGAGATTTATAATCAAAAGGGTTGGGTTAGATTCTTACAAATTTGGGGCTGTTCATGTTTGCTGGACTAATAGAATGGAATGCTACACATTGTATAATCATTCAAAATATGTTTGTTGGGACATATTACAAATCCGATAATATCAAGGTGGGGTTGGAATTTTAGGATTAGTATACCTACTGAAAACTAAATCTGGTGTGGCACAACCCAACTAGAATATTTCTGCATGATGTGAGTTCTTAATAACAAGTTAAAATTGACAGGGTTAATTCTGGTTAACATGGATTTAATTGGATTTGTCAGCTAGATTTATTGATGGTAGAGGTTCTGGTTTCTAAAGGGTGGTTATTTAATTATAAAGGGGGTTGATCAAATGGGAACTAGAATAAAAAGGAGGGTTAAGGTTTTACAGTCAACAAGAATATATCCATAAATTGGTTTGAATGAGGAGTAGGGTCTAGAAATTGGATACTAGAAAGCAAAAGAAGTTAAAAAATTAAAGGAAAAGTAATTAGAGAGAGTGTTTAACCACTCACGATCAAATGGGAACTAGAAAAAGGGAGGGTTATGAATTGGATATTAGAAAGAAAAGAATTTAAATGAAAAATTAAAGGAAAAGTAATTAGAGACTTAAGTTACTGTTGAGCTTCACAATGTGGGACGCTTGGCACAACCCTTTGTATATACAATATTTTTTTTACATAAATGAGTATTTTTTTTTGAAACATTACCGATAAAAAGAGGGTCTTACTTAAGTCTCACTGTTAGAAAGGAGCATGTAGTTGTACTTGCATTAAAAAGAAATTTCAAAACAAGTGCATTCATCCAAGAATACATGTAATTTCATAGTTTGCATCTTTTATTTATTACTAGAAGAGACCCATATGACACATGGTCTGGTGATAGTAAAGGTATTTGTTATAAAATGTGCATCCCTTGAGAAATGTATAATAAATTTTCCGTTGTATATTTGTTATTTGTTTTTTATCTAATCATTGACCTCAAAACTATAACTTAAATATGAATTTGGATACTATTGATAAGAGTTGTCATCATCATCTTCTAAGCCTTGTCCCAAGTCCCAACTATATAAGTAATGATAGAATGGTCATAAACAAAATGTTATTCCAATGTTATAAATATTAGAAGTGCTAGCATCCCCCACATAGCATTTAAATCACAAAAGAATGTAATTGTCTGTTACATTTTCTTGTCCAATTTATGATGGAGTGCCTATTCCTCATCCTATCAATTTACAGTGTTCATTCAAAAACCCGAAATGTAAATAAAGAGGTATCATCATTGTGATGCATGTTACAATGATAAAACTAGGGTATCATGCATGAGAATGCAAGTTTGATTTTGAGAATGGACACCTTGTGCAAAAAATTGCTGGGGGTTGGGTCAGTGTCCAGTTTCCATTCCCACAACTCTGGATATCTGGGACCAGCATTTTGGTAGTCCCAGTTTGAGTAATCAACTGGTACAAAACTTTGTTTTGAGTAAACAATTACTGTATCATGCCAATTCATGTGTACTACTTGCATATTAAGAACTTTGGTTGGGTTGATAAGGAAAAGAGAAAGCACAGAGAAGGATAAAAGAAACAGAAAAACAGAACAGTGGCCTACAATAATATATTAATATTGTTTTGTTGCTTTGTCAGATCAATTTGGCTCTGGAAAACCTCTTCTTGTGATGAACGTGCATGCCTATTTAGTTTTTCTTCATTAAAGGTTGCTACAAAAGATGAAAGAACATGTAAACTGTGTCAAATACTCTGTTTCATGGTCCACAAACTATCATTTGTTTTTCTTGGTATAGATGTTAGAAGTTTATGTTGTTTCTTTTCTATTTTGATACTATCTTGTGGATTTCTCTCTCAGATTGAGTTGAAAACAGCACCAGCTGATTTTCGTTTCCCTACTGCAAATCAAACCCGACACTGTTTCACTCGCTACATTGAATTTCACAGGTTGGTTTTTCATGGTTGAGGCATTGGGGTGTGTGTGTATCACTGCTCATCATGCATTTCAAGGGTCTTTATTTATCTATTTATTTTCCCAAGTGGTTGCCCTGGAAATAATTAATAAGCTCAAATTTTGATATCAAACACAGGTGTTTGCAAGCAAAAGGTGAGGAGTCTGGTGAATGTGATAAGTTTGCTAGATATTACCGTTCCCTCTGCCCAGGTGAATGGGTAAGTTGTATGTTTAGTTAGCCAACTTGATTTTTTTCTTTTTGTATCAGTTTGTTGTTTAGTTTTTATTTAGATGCAGATGTCTACCTACCTTTTATAAAATAAATTCAGGATAAGAGGTCTTTAGTCTCAAAGGGTCCATAGGTTAAATCTCATACTGTTCTTGATCTAAAACTATGATACCTGGATACCTATACATGCCTATCATACTGGTGTTGGACATGATACGTACACAGGATATTGCGTCAACCCTTCTAGGTATATTCTATAGTATTAACATTTCTAAAATATTTAAAATAGGCAGTTTAACAAAATATACTAAAACAGAATAAATGTCTTGTTTTGATCCTCGTGCTGTTGTGCACTGGGGTAAATATTTAAAACAGTCAGATCTAAAACAGCCAGTTTAACATTTCTAAATATTTAAAACAGTCTGTCCCTCCATTGGTGGGAGCCTTGTGCACTGGGATGCCCTTTTATCTGTGTGAATGTTGCCATCTGTATATGGACATCATTAGATTGAAAACAGAATAAATGTCTTGTTGTAAATAAGACTCATTATCTTGGATTTTTCTTATTTTTCTGTCATTTATCATAAAAAGGAGAAAAAAATGAAGAGTAAGTGATACAATGGGCATCTAGAAAATGGTGGTTGGAAGCACCAAAACTTATAAAAGAAAGGATGCAGTGATGCACAATGCAGTGTGCAGAAAATTGTAACTGTGAAAAGGATGTTGCTTCACCCATCCAAATAAAACTTGACTTTGTGGTGGGGAACAATAGGTGAAGGGAGTCAAACTTCTTTACTAATAGTTTAGTTGAATTTCAGGCTGCAACTCGTGTATATGAATGAGGAGTTGCTAGTAATTGCTGTTTAGCCAGAGTGGTTAAGTTGTCTGCTAGTGTTTAAATATGCATACAGGATGTACATTCAATCCTTTATCCATCCTACTAAATTTTTCATTAATTATATAAGATTCTTTTCTACAAGTGATACAACATGGTACTCATTAACGTTTAGAAGAAAGGAGTGCATTAGTAATTATGTGTTTAATGGTGCAATGGTGTGCTAAAATATGTAGGAGAGAGACATCAAAATTCCCAAATACAATGGAACTTCATGAARGATCTACATTTAGCCCTTATTATTTTGCACTAGTCATGGATGAATTAATTAAGCATGTTCAGGAGGAGGTTCCGTGGTGTATGTTGTTTGTTGATGAATTGGTTTAGGGCCATTTTAATACATTGGGCCTAATGGGCCTACATAAGCCTAACTGACCAACTGTAAGGTGCCAACCAACTGATTGGTAAGGGTCTCCTGCTGGTCGTAGCAGAGACGTGGGATCTAATCCCGCCTGCACCTGGGTTGGGAGATGGGCTACCCTCATTGTGTAGCCCTTAAGAAATTAAAAAAAAAAAAGCCTTACTGACCAACCCCATGCATGACCTGGGGCTGAGCCCAACCCCAGTGTATCAAATTTTAATTTAACCTGGGACTAGGTTGGGCAGATTTGGGGTTGACCTCAGGCCAGGCTTGGGCCTGGATTGACATYAAGTCCAGCCCACCCAAGTTGCAGCCCTAGTCAGTTTAACTTAAAAAGTATTTTGAGATAGTTTTCCACAAAAGCATGAAAAATTCTTTCTGTGAGAAAACTTTTTAAATTAAAAAAACTATGGTTTAGGTGAAACGAAAAGGGCTGATTATCCTCATCTGGGCACTTGTTACAGCATTCATATGGGCAACTGTATCAAACTAAGTTGGTAAAACTTTAGAGGCATAAGCCTCCTTAAGAGGTGGGGGAGGAGGAAGAAGCGGAAGGGAGGATCTCATTTTTTTTAATGAAGATGTTCTTTCTTTTATCATTTTTCTTGTATTTCGTTTTTTATTTTTCTTTCCCTTCCCTTTCTTTCATTTTTTTCTTCTTTCCTTTTTTTTTGTATGAGGTGTGCGTGAGATGTAAACCTCTAGCACACCTCATGCAAAAGGTGTATGAAGTGGCATATGCCTCAAGGTGTTTTGGGGGCACCTCACCTGGAGGTGTACACCTTTCAAAACACAATCTATTTATTCACACACAACTACACACTCCAATGGTTGAAGAATAATAAGTGTTAGAGCTAGCCGAATAGAGATTTCCTATCCCATACTTAAGTGGGGGCAGTTTAGTCTTTATACCACTAATTAGAGGCTAATCCATATTAAGGGTTGACTGATAGGGTTTAACCTACTTGGTTCGACTGTTCTCTTCATCATCATCATCTTCTTCTTCTTCTTCTTCTTCTTCTTCTTCTTCTTCTTCTTCTCTTCTCTTGGTTCGGACTACTATAGCTACAGAAATAAAATGGTAACAGAGCCTACACTATGCCTCCCAGTTGCAATCGTGCGGCGTAGGTGGTGACGTCGGTATTGCAGTGTTTGGTCGGGACTAGATGGACTAGTGAAGCATGGTGGGATGTTACGATCCATTTGTCCCATGTTGGTAGTATGGGATGCTAATGTGAGGTATCCCACATCGGTAGAATGGGATGCTGTTGTGGGGTATTTATGTGCTTGGGTTCCCTCCCTCTGACAGCTAGCTTTTAGGGGTGAGTTCTCCTAAGGCATATAACAAATGGTATCAGAGCTTGGTTTGGGAAGTTTAGTGAAGTGGTGAAGAATTTTGGAATGAAACAATGCCAAGTTGACCACTCAGTGTTCAACTATGATTCAAAAGCCGGAAAGATTTTATTAGTGGTCTATGTGGATGATATTGTCATAACTGGTAGTGAAAAATTGGGGAACAATAAACTAAAGGTCTTTTTGCAAAATCACTTTCAAACAAAAAACCTTGGAACATTGAAGTATTTCTTGGGTATAGAAGTTGCTAGATCAAGACAAGGTGTAAACCTGTGTCAAAGAAAATAAGTTATTGATCTGCTGGATGAAACAACATTGTTAGGTGCAAAACCGGCTGAAACTCCCATGGAACCAAATGCTAAGTTGAGCAGTGACACAGGGGAAATATTTGATGATCCTGGAAGGTATAGACGGCTAGTGGGGAAGCTGAACTATTTGACTATCGCGAGACCAGACAGCTCCTTTGCAGCCAGTGTGGTGAGCCAATTTATGTAGAACCCTCGGATACCTCACTGGGATGCAGTTCTTAGAATTGTAAGGTACTTGAAGGGAGCTCCAGGCTCTATGTCTGATAAAAGATCTACTACAGGTTTACTACACATTTCTTGGAAGAAATCTTGTGACATGGAGGAGTAAGAAGCAAACGGTTGTGGCAAGGAGTAGTGTTGAAGCCGAATATAGAGTCATGACACACACTACATGTGAATTAGTATGGCTGAGGAATCTCCTACAAAAAATCGGGTTCTCCATGGATAGACCTATGAAATTGTACTGTGACAATCAAGCTGCACTCCACATCTCATCCAACCCTGTTTTTCATGAGAGAACAAAGCACATAGAGATTGATTGCCACTTTGTGAGGGAGAAGGTCCTTACTGTAGAGATAAGCACAGAACATGTGGGCTTAGGTGATCAGTGGGCAGATTTGTTTACAAAAGGCTTAAGCTTAGGGAGAGTGAACTATATATGTAACAAGCTGGGATTATATGACATATATTCTCCAGCTTGAGGGGGAGTGTTAGAGCTAGCCGAATAAGAGTAGATTAGTCAATTTATTTCTGTTAAGTTATGTGCTTATGTGGCAGTCTTAATAGAGACTTCCTGTCCCATACTTAAGTGGGGGCAGTTTAGTCTTTATACCACTAATTAGAGGCTAATCCATATTAAGGGTCGACTGATAGGGTTTAACCTACCTGGTTCGACTGTTCTCTTCATCTTCTTCTTCTTCTTCTTCTTCTTCTTCTCTTCTCCTGGTTCGGACTACTGTAGCTACAGAAATAACAATAAGAAAACATTAATGTAGTGTTCCAGAGAATGCTTTGAATGGTTGCTTATATATATGGGGTGACTGAAGATGTAGTGCAAATCATCAGAATTATAAGTGCGTATCTTTTGAGCAGGATCCACCAATAAATCTCTAGATTATTTACTGGTCGTTCATGTTCTCATCCAGTTCCTTTGTTTTGTTCTCCTTGCTAATTACATTTTTTTAGAAACTTAAGGATCCATCCAACTTTTTTTAACTTCTTCCCTTGGTGGATCGCAGATCTCTGTTAAAAAATGAAGAGAAATGTTCTGCTTCTGTTAGTGTCAGGTATTTCTGGTTGATTGGTTTTCTCTTTTACATGGCTGCAGATTGAGAGATGGAATGAGCAGAGGGAGAACAGAACTTTCCCAGGTCCTCTTTGATCTCACAGCAGATTTAGCTTTTTAACTGCTGGCAGTTGGTCTTCTGCATGGAACTTTAATGCTTCTATGTTTTATTTGATCTAATGGTTGCTAAACCAAAAAACAATAACTTAATAAGACAGACAACAAAAGTACATTGAGTCTGGATTTTATTGCTTCACTCTTCTAAGAACCATGGTGCTAATGCACATAGAAATTGATCAAATGTTTATGTTGTTCAATATATGATTAATTTTCATTAGTGTTTTCTTTAGAAGTATGAGTTCCATTTGTTCCCAAACTTAGGTGGCATTTGATAAATCTGAAATCTGAATGGTACCATGAGAGGGATCCTTTTTGATAAGTGAAGTAGCCCAAGAGGTGAAGACTTTCCAAACCAAGGTTTTAAAAACCGGACTGGACATGAAACCGTTTTGGGGACTGGTTCCTGGGTCAAACGGTCTGACCATCTGGTTCGAACAGACAGACCATTCTGACTTAAAAGATAAAAAAAATTAAAAATAAATAAAATAAAAAAATTATTAAAAACCGTTGTCTGGGTCGACGGTTTGACTGCCTGGGTCAGTGGGTCACTGACCAAATCAGCAGTTTTTGGCCAAAAAGCGATTTCAGGGTGAAACAGAACCGGTTACCTGACCGGTTCCTAGGTCAACCGGTCCAACTGTCCGGTCCAGTCTGGTTTTCAAAACCATGGTCCAAACCTACTCCTGTTCTGCCGTTCATATCTGCTATTTTCTTGCAGTGAATTCTGGTTTTCAAGTATTTTATCCCCTCAATGACTATCCATCCTTTGTCATTAGATTGAATATGGCTGTGATAGACGATAGATGCTAGTGCTCTACAATTGTAGAGATGACTTGGATGGCTGGTGGTGCTTATGTCCTTAATCATATAGCCAAGGGGAGTTTTCTGGACCGTCTTCTATGGTTGGTTGAAGAGATGCTCTGTTCGATTGGCCTTGAAGAGGTGTTAACCGACTGTGGTTTGGCACTTTTCAAAAACCGAAAAGATATGCCCATAGTTTGGTTAACTGAACCCTGAGAACCTGTATTACCTGTTAGGTTCTCAATATCTCATTGGAAGTGCATAACAGTTGAAATGGGTATAGCCAACTTTTTAGCCCTACAGATCTAAGAGCCTATCTCTTTCAATAGCTAATTGAACATCAACTTCTTAATTCGACTAGACCATCTGACAAGCCTATCAGCCACAAAGTTTACTTTGCAAAAAATGTGGATGAACGTAGGCTCCGTTTGGTTCACAAGAATAAGGATCTGAAATCGGAATCGGAATGGGCTATTCCGATTCCAACTGTTTGGTTGGGCGGAATCAGAATCTTATTCTCATTCCTGTTGGAATGGCACTCCTCCATTTGAGGGAATGATTATTTCCTACCCATCCCTTGGGAATGAAATCTCATTCCTGATGATTCCAATCTTTATTTTCATTCCTGTTTAAGTCAAACAGGTTATGCGAATAGACCATTCCGATTTTGACTATAAACCAAACAGACCCTTAGATTCTTCTGCCTGTTTTCAGTCAAGGTTAGAATGCCTTTAATGATACTCTCAACGATCCACTTGAATGGTGATATCTTTGTCACTGAACTTGAGGACTTCCAACACAGCCTCTATTTAGTAAAATAAGAAAATCAATCCATTAAAACTTAAGAATTCCTAGGGATACAACCAAAAAACCTGTGTAGACAAAACAAACTCGAGAAAACTTGGAATAGCATGGACCCATTCACCTTTGGGACATTAGAAGATCTATTAACATACGATCAACTAATAAAAGGTGATGTTTGGCAAGTCTTTCCATGTGATCTTCAGTAAGCTTGGAAGACTAAAAATTGGCTTTTTTCCGTTTGGTATCTTAATGTTGGTAAAACCAGAAGACACGTGTAGAAATACCCACAAAGATTGAAAATACCGAATTTCAGGGAGTTTCAAATAAAGTTTTTTGATATTTTTGTGTGATAAATAACCTCTAAACTTGTTTCTAAACACTTGGTAGACTGAGCCACTTGTCAAACCGTTTTTTTCTTTAAAGACAAGATCCCAGAAAATCTTTTTAAAAAGACTTGCCAAACAGCAACATAGTTTAAAATTTCAGTAATGATTTCTTCTAAAACAAAGCTGCAGACACTATAATTGGCTATGGACTGAGAGTTCAGAAGGTTGATTATCTGAAGGCAATCACTGTTGGTATTAAGGTTAAGAAAACCCAAAGATTTTATGGAGAAATATGGATTTGCCCAATGCAGATTTTTGATTTACGCTGTAGAGCTATAAACATTCAAAAGGACCACAACCCACACTCTATGCACTAACGCTGACCAGTTCATTGTCATCAATTCTGAGCTAACACCTACCCTGACATACTTTGAGCCTACAAATTCTGACCCTGGACTGATTGGTCATTCTCCCAAGATTTTATAAGATGGATGCGACAAAGGAAAACAACTCTCGCCAGAGCTTTTCTGGTTTCTCCTTTCTTGTCTCTCTCATTCATTGAGGATTCAGATATATATATACAGCCATTGAATCTCCTAAGYTTACAGGAACTCAAACTCAAACCTATCTACAAGATAAGGATTAGAAGAGAACGGAGATTCCTACTTCGAATTCAATCCTAACTCAGCGGAGTCTCCTAATCCCGGAGACTCCTAATTCAATCTTAACACCCCTCCCCAAGTTGGAGCATGCAGATTGTGAATGCCCAACTTGCAGAGAAAATACTCAAATTCTTTGCGACCCAGTGCCTTTGTAAAGATGTCAGCCAGCTGAACGGTAGTCGACACATAAGCAGGACAAATGCAACCATTTTGAATCTCATCACGAACAAAATGGCAATCAACTTCAATATGTTTCGTACGCTCATGAAACACTAGGTTTGCTGCAATATGCAAGGCTTCCTAACTATCATAATAATCGCATTGGGTTCGAATGCGTCACTCCAAGAGCCAATAACAATCCCTTTAGCCATTTTAATTCACACGTGGCCGTGGCCATAGATCAATACTCTGCTTCCGTTGAAGAACGAGCCACAGTGTGTTGTTTTTTAGTTTTCCAGGAAATCGGCGATTTCCCAAGTAGAATAAACCACCYAGACACGGAACGTCAAGACAAAGGACAGCTCGCCCAGTCTGAATCACACCATGCATATAACTGCAAGTCACAATCTGAATGCAAGAGAATTCCTTGACCAGGATTTCCTTTCAAGTAGCGCACCACTCGCAATGCAACCTCCTAATGTCTTTCTTGTGGTTGCTGCATGAATTGGGATAGAACGTGCACATAATAAGACAACTCAGGACGAGTTGTTGAGAGATAAATAATCCTACCCACCAAGCGCCTGTATCGCTCAGGATCAGATAAGAGAAGCTCATCTGTCAAGGCCAAATTGTGATTCTGCTCCATAGGAAAAGGAGCAGGTTTTGCACCAAGTAATCCAACTTCAGCGATAATATCTAGAGCATACTTTCGTTGAGACAGAAAAATTCCTGTTGAGTTTCGGGCAACTTCAATGCCCAAAAAATATTTCAATGGTCCCAAGTCTTTCATATGGAAGCAGTCACTCAAATATTTCTTGAAGGCTTGAATTGCCATATGATCATTACCTAACACGATAATGTCGTCCACATACACAAGGACAAGCACATGTACCCTATCTCGACGAAAGGTGAATAGGGAGTAATCTGAACCTGATTGCTGAAACCCATATGTCTTCAAAACTGCGGTTAATTTAGCAAACCAACATCTCGGCGCTTGTTTCAAGCCATACAGAGATTTTTGCAACCAACACACCATACCTGGTTAATCTGACTGAAAACCAGGAGGCATTCGCATGTAGACTTCCTCATGAAGGTCACCGTGCAAGAATGCATTATGTACGTCCATTTGATGAAGCTCTCAATTTCTAGCTACTGCGACTGCAAGAAAGGTACGGACAGTAACCATTTTTGCAATTGGGGAAAAAGTTTCATTATAATCAATTCCCTCAACCTGCTTGTTCCCAAAGATCACAAGATGGGCTTTGTATCTTTCCACTGTCCCATCAGCATTGTACTTGATTCAATATATCCATTTGCATCCTATGGCTCRTTTTCCGGATGGCAAAGGCTCTACGGTCCATGTCTGATTATTCTCAAGTGCCTGTATTTCTTTCTGCATTGCATCCCTCCATTTTTCATCCTTTACGGTCTCAGCAAAAGAAGTAGGTTCAACTCCTGTAATAATAGCTGCCAAGAAAGCACGATGTCGATAAGAAAAATTGTTACAATTCACATAATTATCTATGGGATAAGGACTACCTACAGGATGTGATTGGCCGAGTGAGCTTGCAAAGGGATGCAGAGAGGGACTCAAGCGCTATGTGGTGTGAAGCACATAGTCTTTTAACCTTGTGGACTGCTGTTTCTGTCGATGCCCACGTCCCAAATGAGAATCAGAGTGTTGTTGTTGCTCAACATTGCCACCCCCTGACGTCAGGACTGTCTTCGCTTGCATTTTCTGTGGTGACGTCAAAAGAATGCATGGGTTCACTAGTATTGGCATTTGGGTCTACGTGGGTTCCTTCTTCTACACTGACTCTTTCTTCTGCGAGTTCACCTTGTTGGTTAGTCTCCATCTCGCCATTTGCTTGTCCTGGCAAATAAGTGGATGGCACCAACACCTCATCTGTCCCACCTATTCCACAATGAAATTGGCCTTGTGCTTTGTTTGGTTGTTCATCCTCCTTGCGTGCATAAGGGAATTCATCCTCT